ACACTGGGAAATAATATAAATCTGCATTTGATTGTTGCAGTGTTATATAGAAACAATATTTATCAAAAAAGACTCAAATGCATTTTATAAACAGAAGGTTTAATGTATAGACACTGGAATAATGTAAACCAATAGGCTATTTTGTTTGCTACATATAGATAGTGAACTATATTTTTAAGCAGAACTAAAAAATGCTTAATTGTGTAGGTTTGATCAGTGGCAGTTTTATTAAATAAAATATAAATTTCTAAAATCTCTAGTATATCTGAGTAATGGTTTTAGTAGGGGTTAACCTAAACAAATCTCAAATGACATGCCTCATTGGCAGTCTAATACACCATTTTATATAGCTATCTCTGGTGTGAAAGAGGTGGCTTCTTAGAAAAGTGTAAAATAAGAGGTGTAAGAAGAGTCAGACACATTCTGAGAGCCTTTTTTGAGATTTTCATCTGCTCTGATATGGTCTTCAAGGACAATCTGCGCTATTTGTTCTTGAAGGAACACTGCATAAAGGGTCTGGAGTGACAGGCTCATTGTGAACAATATCATTGAGGACCAAAAACAGGAAGGAACCTCCACACTGAAAAGCCAAGTGAAGAAAGTGTCAGGGCAGCTAGATTTACACATGCTAAAAATATTATGATGGCTGTGGTGTCAATAAGGAGCAGGGAGGCTTCAGCCCCTTATTCTATTTGTGGATTGGGGCCCAGTAGCCCAAATTTTGTCTGATCTGTGCTCTCCCTGGCCTGCTCTGTGCTCTCCTTGACATTGAGAGTCCAAAAGAGACAAATGATTTAGGGAAGTCACTGGCTCAGCTGTAAAATTGCATCCATGGGCTGATTAAGGAGATCAGCAGATGTCCACAGCTTGTTCTGCGTAATTTTAATTTGTAGCGCCAACCATATGGCCTGCATCAACACCAGATGCACTCAAAGAGTTAAGTAAAACCTACATGACATGCATGTGGCATGGCAGCCAGTACTATGTGTGCAGAAACAGAGATAGGATCTTAGATCATCCTTTCCTCACCCAATCTACAAATAGAATCATAGCCTTGCAGGAACTTATAGTCTTTAAAGAGGCCCAGCAGCACATGGGTCATCACTGAAAGTGTAAGTCAGTCAAGCAATAATTATAGGTATAAAAGTAAAAATCCAAGTTGTAAATTGAGGGATGATGGCACATCAGGGTGGGAAGTTTGGAATATAAGGGTGTCATGGGAGTCGTACCCCAACACGCAGGAAAGTGAAAACCCACAAAAGGTGGATCCGAAAGACGTATTACCGTGTCTTAGAATGTCCGGACTTAATATATGAAACAGCAAGAAACAAGGTTAAGCCAAGACCAGGAATGCAGAAATATACGGAGTGTATACAAACCCGGCTAAGCATACCAGAAATTCACAAGTCAAATATGAAGATTAGGTCAATAACAGGAATACAACAAGAGAGAGTATTATATAGCACTAATGTGTATCAGGACAGAAACCATGATAGGGAAATGAGTAAGGGCTTGAACAGGCCTTTAATAGTTTCAGAAGAGTTCCTATTGGTCCACATCATCTCTGCGTCCCAAACAGAATGGGTCGCCTAGACGACATGGTACCTAGAAGGGCGTTATGTCATGGGAATAATTTTATTTAAGGAGAGGGTGCTATTCGCCGGACTGAAGGTGAGAATACTATTGAGGCCACGGGCCACGTGGAGTGTTAAGGCAGCGCAGCCTTAAGGAATGCAGGATTGCGGCCACACGGTGCGTTCTTCCTGTGTGGCCCGAGGAGTGGAGTGGCGTGGGTGCTGGGGGTCAGGATTACAAGTTGATCCAGCACGCAGTACAGTGTCACACCTAGGACTAAGGATAACGTCTAACCGGATCTTAGAATGGCCGGACTTAACGTCTCCAAGAATATATAAAATAGGCATGAAACTACGACAGGGCAATGAGCAAGAGGAGAATTGGGTTTAAATACCCCTCCTGTGGATACGATTGGCTGTAACCGGCCTTTGACCCCAAAGGCGATTACCAGGTTTCCATGTGCATGATTGCTGCTCCGCACCATTTTTCCTGTCAGGACGGTAATGTTGCTTGGCACAACTTTTCCTGTCAGGACAGTAAATGCCATTAACCACATTTTTATGTGCGGATGAATACGTGACAGTTTCACCCCATAAGACTTTATCAAATGGAAGCTTCCATTTGTCATTTTTTATTCTTGTTTGTCTTTTTGTGGTAAAATAATAGAACTGAATATTTGGTAGAACTAGAACCCAATTGTTGAAATGTATTTTGACATGTCATCTGATATCAACTCATTGTATGCCACAATTAATGCTGTTAATGTTAAGGGTAAATTATGAATAACACATACATGTTATAATAATAAATCAAGTCAAGTGAACAATTGAAAATGTGGAATAAGCATTTATTTATATATAACTCAATAACTGTGAAGATTATTTCAAAACTTGATTATAATATAATAACAAATGATCCTCTTTTGTTTCATCTTTGTCAATACACGAATATGTGCAAGATAAGAAAATACCTGCATGCTTAAATTAACAATTGCAATTTTCATCCATTCATCATTTAAAGTAAATGTTAAATTGTTACATTGTAATTTAGGTTAAAAAACACTGAAAGAGCCAATATGAAGCAATTTCCCTCTTGTATTGCATTCTCATTTATTGATGTACCAAACATAACCCAAGTATATTTTATGAATGTATTTCTCATCTAAAAATGCATAACTTTGCAGTCATTTAAATTGAATTTCATCTGCAGATTTACCTAATTTATTAAAATTTTCTTTAGAGCAGTACCACTCTGTGCATACTGTATTATCATATCTAGATTTGTATCATCTGCGAATGCTGACATGTGATTTGTGATAGCCATTTGCCAAACTGTTTTAAATAGATTAATGGTAGAGAATGCAGGACAGAACCTTGTCATGTTCTACTTACCAATTTCTCCTATTTAGAATCACTTTCTGAACTTTATGGTTAAGCTAGTTGTCAATCCAAGTAAAAAGCATTTTCAATAATTTTCAATTCATGCCATAGTCTTCTGTGTGTCAGGAAAATCTAAGTTGAACACAGCTAAAAGATAGGTTGACATAATCCGTCGGATTTTTGGATATGTTGTTCACCCAGATCGGGGCTATCAGGGGATGTAATTATGATGTTTTCTGTGTTTGTAAGGTACTTTTTGGGGTTTCATAAAATTGTATGTTTTTCTGTGCTTGGAGATAATTGGGTTAGATTAATACAGTTCCCGATTCAATTATCTCCCAAGCACAAAGGATTCTATTGTTTGTGTATGGGAGTGTCTCACTGTATAACTGGTTTATTGGTTTATTCACTTTGTGTCCCTGTTCCCAACAAGGTCTACCTGGGTGTCACCCTTGTTGGGAAACTTGCATAAAAGGCCAGTGTACCTCCATTAAAATCCTATTCCAGCTTACACTTGTAAATTGTGTGTCATTCTGTTATTGGAGGGAAAGAAGATTTACTCCTGGTCTATTGTTCCAGCTTGCAGGGGATTCTACAGGAAAAGTCCTTGTTAATGCAGTTCCAGCTAGGAAGTGGTCCTTTGGCGGAGGTACCCAGTCAGGGTACAGGGAGCTCCGTTACAATTGGTGGCAAGCGGTGGGATGGCTTCCTAGCTTTGGGAAAACCAGCACTACTTCAGAGGAAGGATAGACGAGGAATTTGTGAGAATGGGGTATGCTAGCCCCTGGGCAGCGCTCACATCCAAGGAGGAGAGTGACTTGGAATTGAGCGGCGCAGCCCGGAAAGAATGGTACAACGCCCTGGGGGAAGTTCGGTTTCAGCAGCAGGAGAGCCTTGTGGGAACAAGTGGCCTGGCGGATGGCGCTTCTGGGGAAACAACCCATGACGGAGTGGGTAAGGCACCTTGAGTCCCTAGTAGGGAACTGAACCTGGACGACTCATACCCGGCGCTATGGTGGTGCACAGTCCAGCGAGAGACTTGGATGGCAGAGGGCATTCAGCCGGAGGGGGAGAACTACAGTAGTCCTGGCCTGTTGTGGAAGGCCTTGGAGGAGGACAACGACTTTGGCAGTCCAGCAGAGTTAAGGTACTGGGCTATCTATTATTACCGGGGAGCCATGGTACGGGGTCCAGGATCTATTGGGCTGGTACAAGACCTCCGCCGTCTAGTTGCCATGGAGTGGGGGCTGGAAATAGACTATGTAAAACTGCTAGACTCGGTTCAGCCACAGGATGTTGACGCAGAGCAGGGAAGCTGGGTGACTGACACAGACCTGGCACATGCCAGATGGGGAGACCTGGATGCTGTATCCCCTGTTTCACTACCAGCTCCAGAAACAGGGGACCTTATAGACTGGTCGTAGGAAGACCCCCATTTGGCATGTGAAGATTGGATCGAGGTCTCTCCACCGGCCCTACCGGGATGCTGGGCAGTCTGCCCAGATTCCCAACCACAGATGGAGATGTTAGGAGTAGGGACAGTCTGTCCCTCTCCCCAGCAGCAGTATGTATAACAGGGAGAGAAGTGTGTCGTCCTTCCTCCCCAGTGGCAAAATGTATTATTGGGAGAAGAGACGGTCAGTCTCTCTCCCTAGAGGCAGAGTGTGTTACAGGGAGTGGAGCGTGTCGCCCTTCCTCCCCAGTGGCAGGGTGAGTTACAGGGAGTGGAGACAGTTGGTCTCACTCCCCAGTGTTAGTGTATTCTACAGAGAGTGGAGACAATCAATCCCACTCCCCAACAGCAGTGTGCAGTACAGGGAGCCTGTTGTCCTTCCTCCCCAGCGACAGAGTGTATTATTGAGAGAGGAGATGGTTGATCCCTCTCCTCAGCTGCTGAGTGTGTTACAGGGAGTGGAGAAAACCGGTCTCACTCCCCAGGGGCAGTGTATCCTACAGGGAGTGGAGATAATCGGGCCCACTCCCCAACAGCAGTGTGCAATACAGGGAGCGTGTCGTCCTTCCTCCTCAGCGGCAGAGTGTATTATTGGGAGAGGAGACGGTCGGTCCCTCTCCCCAGTGGCCGAGTGTGTTACAGGGAGTGGAGACAACCGGTCTCACTCCCCAGCGGCAGTGTGTATTCCAGAGAGAGAAGTGTGTCGCCATTCCTCCCCAGCGGCAGAGTGTGTTACAGGGAGTGGAGACAACCGGTCTCACTCCCCAGCGGCAGTGTGCAGTACAGGGAGCGGAGTGTGTCATCCTTCCTCCTCAGCGGCAGAGTGTATTATTGGGAGAGGAGACGGTTGGTCCCTCTCCCCAGCTGCCAAGTGTGTTAAAGGGAGTGGAGACAACTGATCTCACTCTCCAGCGGCAGTGTGGAGTGTGCAGTGTGTCGGCCTTCCTCACCAGCAGCTGGGGCTGTCATCCAGGGACAAGTCCCCTAGCATGCATGGTGCAGGTGGAACTGAGGTTTCTGCACCAGCCCTACAGGAATGCTGGGCAGCCTAACCAGATCCCCAACTGCCCATTCCCAACCATGGTCCAGGTGCAGAAGAGAGAACTACAGCCTCTACTGACCTCCTTCCAGCAGCAGAGCTAGCATCAGGGCAGAATGCAGCTGGCTTCTGACCTACCTACCCCTTTGTTCTGGGGCCTGATGAGCCACCAACCAACCCAGCTGAACCACTGGCTACCGGACAGGGCAGCGCAGCGCTGGCCTCTGCCCAACAGGCATGGATGAGGGAAACTGCACCCGCCATCCCCAGCGACAACTTTATCCAACCAGTGGGAGTGCGCCCAAGTAGTTTCCCCGCAGGACACTGGATCTACAAATGGGCACTTGTGGCAGGAGGCCGTCTGGACAACTACGCCTTTTGGGAAAGGCCACCAGACCGATTGGAGGTCTGGGGTTTGGATATTCTCCCCGGAAGGGGGAAGATGTGTGACAAACTCCCCTCTCCAAGTGAGTTTGCCATGAGCTCCTGTAGGATCCTGCTTGCCAGCCTCCTGCCCTGCAGGGAAACCTGTAAAAGACTACCAAACTTGACCGACTGTTAGCACTGATTTCCCTGGAGCTGTTTTGGGCATAGGACCATGTGCATGGTCGGTCAAAACTATGACTTCCAGGAAATTCCTGAACCCCTGAACCGATCTGGTTGATTTTTGGATATGTTATTCACCCAGATCGGGGCTATCAGGAGATGTAATTATGGGGTTTTATGTGTTTGTAAGGTACTTTTTGGGGTTGTTACAGTATAACCCGGTGTAGTAAGGGTTAATACCGTTTGGGAGATTCACCTTTCGAAGGGAGCAGCAACTCACGAACACTCGAACCCACCGAATTGGAAACATACAAAATCCTTCTCTCCTGGAACAGGTAAACAAATAATCCACAGTAGCAATTACCCCTAAGTACAAGACGTGGCTCCGTATTGAGGGTAAAACAGGAATCTGGTTTAATGTGGGCTACCTGCCCGGTATTAATGCAAATCTCCCATCTGGTGGACACTCCCCGAGGGGACCAGATGGAAGACTGGGACAAAAGTGATACAGTAGCCAATGAGCACACTCTGGCTATAAACACTCCCCTTTATACCAGGTAGACCCTCCTCTCTATCCTGGGGATAATTGGGAAGTAATCCAATTATCTCCCAGGATAGAAGCAACTGAATGGATTATATGCAATTAACGTATCCCCAGATAGCTTAGATCTGAGTGCACATTATTACCGAATGGCGCTCAGATCCTATACCCACAGTTCAATCACCATGCGGCTCCATGGAATGGCTATCTGGGGTAAGTCCATTCGTGGAGAAAGTGCAGAATGGACCGGCGTTCGTATGTTGGAAGTCAGAAAAAGGGAGGTCGGCAGCTTCAGCGGTGTTCGGGAGAAATATTATCAGTTTTAGTTCCATGAACACATCGACGAACACCACTGATCATTCATGTAGTCAAGATGGCCGCCACCTCATGGTCGGCATATGAATGACGACCACCCGGTCTGCGCTTGATACTTAGTAAGAGTCTGCGGTTAACCTCAACGTTCTGATGGGGCCAGGAGGTCAACAAGCAGCACACTTCCCTGCTGGGTGGCCAGTCTTTCGGTAATTTGTTTGATAGAAACAAGGAAATAACAGGGGGACTGTACAGACAGGGAAATAGCCGAACAAACAGACGAATGGAGGGAAAATAAAAGTAATCCATAGACAGATGGTTCTGTCACACAGCTCCCTCCTTGTGGGACACTCCGGCAGACCCGGCTTGATCCTTCTCGGGTCAACTTGGGGATGTCCGGAACTAGGGGGCTGGAGTGGTGTCTGTTTGTCGGGACAACCGATCGGCATTGCCATTCTGCTTACCAGGTCTATAGCTGATGGTAAAGTTGTAAGGTTGCAGGGCTAGACTCCACAGCAGCAACCTGCCATTGTCTCCTGAGACCCGGTTAAGCCAGACCAATGGGTTGTGGTCAGTCACAAGGGAAAATTCCTGTCCGTACAGATAGGGAGTCAACTTTCTCAGTGCCCATACCAGGGCCAAACACTTCTTCTCCACTGCCGCATAGATCACTTCCCGGGGTAGTAGTATTCTGCTGAGATATGCGACAGGGTGCTCTCCTCCATCCTCCCTGACTTGGCTCAGTACAGCCCCCAGTCCAAACATGGAAGCGTCTGTATGGACAAGAAAACGTTTGTTAGGTACTGGGGCAGCCAAGACAGGGGCATTCACAAGAGCCTGCTTCAGTGCCTGAAACGCAGCTTCACAAGCTGGAGACCACAGGACCTGCTTTGGTAAGTTTTTCTTAGTCAGGTCAGTCAGGGGCTTAGCTATGGCACTGTAGTCGGGGACAAAATGTCGGTAGTACCCTGCAGTCCCCAAAAAGGCTAGCACCTGGGTCTTCGTGAGGGGTGTGGTCCAGTTAGCCACTGTCTCTACCTTGGCTTGCTCCACACCCCACTCTGTGTCCCAGGTACTGCACATCAGCCATACCTAGATGACACTTATCTGGCTTCAAGGTCAGGCCAGCGGCCCGAATCTTGTCTAGAACCACCCCTACGTGTACCAAGTGCTCCTCCCAAGATCCACTGTAAATCGCAATGTCGTCCAGGTATGCACAAGCAAATTCCTGGAAGCCATCAAGGAGTCTATTCACCATCCGCTGGAAGGTAGCCGGGGCAAAAGGGGTGACGAAAGCTGACTTGGGGATAGCATCCTCAGCCAGGAGGATCTGCCAATAGCCCTTACACAGGTCTATGGTAGTCAGATAGCGTCCCCTGGCAACTATCTACAATCTAGCAAGGATCTCTGGATTCTTTCATCTGCACAGCTGGCAATGACATAGGTAGTGTCACATACCTGGGCTACTACCTTGTACCTTGTGCTTGCATCTTATTTGTCTTCACAGGTTTAAGCACTAACACCTTCTGCCCAACCTGGAAGACCCGCTGTCGGGCACCCCAATTGTACCACCTCTCCTGTCTCCCCTGGGCCGCCTGGAGATTCTCTCTTACCATCAGAGACAGTTGCTCCATGCAGTCTCTGAGTTTCAGAATGTAGGGTACTATGGGGGTCCCCTCCTGCTCTGTCTCTCCCTCCCAGTGTCCCCTAATGAGATCTAGGGGTCCGCGGACCCTTCTCCCATAGAGTAACATAGAGTAGATTCCTGGGCCACCTCTCTTTAAGCAAATAACAGATGAGGCAGGAATCGCTCCCAGTCTCTGCAAGCATCAGTAAAGGTCCTTTGCATCTGCACTCGCAGAGACCGTTAGTCTGTGGGTGGTAAGGTGAACTAAGCAGCAGTTTAATGCCGCACAACTTCCACAACTGCTGGGTGATCACTGCAGTAAACTGGGTTCCCTGGTCGGAGAGGATCTCCTTAGGGAACCCGACCCGGGTAAAAATCTTAACCATGGCATCAGCTACTGTCTCTGCCTCTATGTTGGACAGAGCTACTGCCTCTGGGTAACAGGTAGCATAGTCCACCACGGTGAGAATATATTTCTTCCCGGATGGACTAGCCCTGGCCAGTGGACCCACAATGTCAACGGCTATGCGGGAAAAGGGCTCCCCAATGATAGGCATAGACATAAGTCTAGCTTTAGGGTGGTCCCACCGCTTTCCTATCCGTTGACATGTGTCAGACGTCCTACAGTATTGTCGCACAGCCTGGTTAAAATTGGGCCAAAAGAAATTCTGCGTAATCCTATGTGCTGTGCGACGGGACCCTAGATGTCCGGCTAATGGCACATAATGTCCAATTCGCAGAATCTCCAGCCGGTATTTCTGGGGTACAACCAGCTGCCGTTTCTGCGAAGGGGCTTTATTTTTCTGGGATGGCTTCTGGACCCTATACAGTCTATCCCCCACCCACTCATAGCACTCCCTGTCTACCCCCTCTTCCTTGGAGTCTGCTTTAGCCCTATACTTGCATAAAGTCGGGTCTGCCCGGGTTTCCCTCCCAAATGCCTCTGGGGTATCCCAACCTAAGGGGGCCTGGTCCACAGTACATGTCGCAGGGGTCTTACCTGGGTCTCAGCAGCAGGTGGGTTGGCTCCGGCAGCACAGGTCTGGGCACAGGTGGTCACAGGGTGGGCTTCAGCCGGGCCCGTTGGGGCGTAAGCGAACACGGGGGGGGGGGGGCAAATCATTACCCAATAAGACATCTGCAGGTAAGTCTTTCATAACCCCCACGTTAACTTGCCCACCCTCCAGTCCAGGTGGACCCGGGTCACAGGTAGTCTAAAAACGGTGCACATGGGTTTCATAAAAGTGTATGTTTTTCTGTGCTTGGAGATAATTGGGTTAGATTAGTACAGTTCCTGATTCAATTATCTCCCAAGCAAAGAGGAGGGATTCTATTGTTTGTGTATGGGAGTCTCTCACTGTATGACTCTTTTTTTATTGGTTTATTCACTTTGTGTCCCTGTGCCCAACAAGGTCCACCTGGGTGTCACCCTTGTTAGTCAACTTGCATAAAATGCCTGTGTCCCTCCATTAAAATCCTATTCCAGCTTACACTCCAAAAGGGTATGTCATCCTGTTATTAGAGGGAAAGAAGATTTACTCCTGTGTCTACTGTTCCAGCTTGCAGGGGATTCTACGGGGAAAGTCCTTGTAAGGGCTTGAGCTAGTTCCCCATTCGGCTCCAGGAAGGAGTAATTCCAGGGCACCAGTCAAGCCATGGTGACTGTGGACAGAAGTGCTGCGGTTTGTCCCCTGTTCCATCTAGAAAGTGGTCCTTGGCTGATTTACCCAGCCAGGGGTACAGAGAGCTCCGTTACAATGGCTTAGGTTGT